TTCCATGTCCACTTGCCAGGGGTACACTTATTTAAAAAGGTTGAAACCCCCTGGGTTAGGATGTTAGGTCTGTATTGTGTCCTAGTTGATGGTAGTCTTACATAGATATTAGATTATGGTTTGGATGGGTTTGATCCTGCCTCAGGCAGGGGGTTAGACTAGATGACCTCTAGAGGTCTCTTCCAGCCCCACTTCTCTCTGACTATAGTCTGTGACTTTGTGACATGCTGCCCTGTTGGCTTTCTGAGTTGTTTGCAGCAGCAGACCAGCTTTGCTACTTTCTGTAGTCAAAACTTAGAGGTGGGGGGCAGGTTTCAAATCTGGTGGTTCTCAACCTTTTTGGACTCAAGCTACCCCTTCATCACTTGTGTGAATTTGAATGGCACCCATTTCAAAAACTAATTTATATATTACAGTTCTTACCCTGCCCTCCCTCCCCCTTTGCAGGGGGCCAGGCAGGGACAAGTCTGAGCCTGTGCTTATCTGCTTGTCTCTTCATATGTTGCTTATTCCCTCGCACCTTAGGGCACTTTTCAAAGGATCTAGCAGTATCTGAGAGTGCCCAGGCACCCTGGTTGAGAATCCCTGTTCTGTTCTAAGGCTGTGCCTTGAGCTGGATGAGGGGTGCCTTGAGCATAAAAAATGTTGAGAGGCACTGCTCTATGAGATGTGGATTCTGTTGCTCTTGTAAAAGAAGAATGTCCTGCTGTCATTGTCCAAGTGTTTTTGAGTGAAGTTGTCTAGCTCAGCAGTTTCTTTTTTTTTTTTTTTTAGGTACCTGCACTATATATACTGCATAATTGTTTCTCACTGCCTGATGCTTGCTATGCTCTGCTTCCCCAAATCAGTCTCTAGTTTAAGCCTGCTCTCCTACCTGTATAACTCTGGCTCAGGTGTCATCTACAAATTAGGTCACATTTCATTATGCACAAAACACCCAGTGAAGACTACTAATGCAAAGTGTATACTTGAGATTGGGTTGGTCTAATAAAAGATATCAAATTCACCCAAGGAACCTTGTCTACTTGAGATTGGGTTGTTTGTGGGATTTTAATTTCATGCATATTTTTTTTTCGAGCAAAATTGCTTAATTATACTACAGCTAGCATTTGAGTTGCTGATTAAATGAATTCTGGAAGTGTTGTTTTGCCTTAGGGTGCAAGGGACAGAAAACATTGCTGCCCCTGGACTGTAGTTTAGCTAGGATCAGACTTGCTTTCCACTTCAGAAAGTGCCTTCTAAAAACAAAAGGAAATTTCCACTTTAGCTTTAAGAGGGAGTGGGAAGCATAGATGACTGAAATGTATTTTCCAACAGACTCACAAGGCCATGTCAATCGGGCGGCAGGGTCGTGTTCAAGTTGAAGACATCGTCTTTTTGATCCGCAAGGACCCACGGAAGTTTGCCAGAGTTAAAGATCTCTTGACAATGAATGAAGAACTCAAACGGGCCAGGAAGGCTTTTGATGAAGCCAACTATGGATCTTGATGCCTTGCCTTTGTGTGGTGCAAAGATGGTATGTTCCTGGGGACTACCCATTATTAGGTACCTACCAAAATCACAGCAGAAGTGGGCTGCACAGCAGCTCCTTTAATTTTGGTGTTTCCCCGTTCCCTCCTGCCCGTTGCTGATTGACCTGATGGTGCTCCTGCTTGCTGCTAACTGGCAGTGTTTTTGCCTCCCAGCCATATTTAAAACTGTGATTTTCTCCTCCCTGCCAATAAGGAGCAAGCATTGGGGTACCTTTACCAATGTGGGGTGGGGCGTATGGAGGGTGTGGGGGCACACAGGGGAACCTGCAAAATTTAATGTGATTTTTTGGTAGGTCCCTGCCCACTTAAAAAAACCTTGCCTGCCATTATCCTTAACCATTTTGGCAATGATTCCATCCCTCCTTTCCCCAAAAAACCAGAAAAATTAACAATAACTGCTTTGGGGATTTTTAGGCCATCTAAGTACTAGGGTATCTTCTATGCTCTTAAGCCTTAACTGGCCCTTTAGAGTTGTCTGTGAAACTAGTAGCTTTATCTAATTGCATTTGTTGTTAATTGGAATTTTTTGTACGTTATTTTAAGACATTTGGGGAGGTTGTCACTAAAGAGGACTAGAAATTCTTATTGCTCTCATTTTGTAGCAACATATTCAAGTCAGGTAGCAGACGACTAAAGCAATAAATATGAACTGGGGTTGTTTTTGTTTTTTTTGTTTTTTACAGGTATTCTGGTTCTCATTAGCACAGATGCTTTTAGATCTCAGATCCCACAAGTGGATTTCAAAAGAGTGGGTGGAAAAATTTTGTCTGGACATGTTTGACCAAATGTACTGTATACCTCTCCAAGTACAAACTACTAGGAGTTTTGCTTTTCCATGTCTCCACCCTGCTGATGGGTATTTGAATAAAATGTTTTAACACATCATTCCTCTTGATCTTGAGTGAGCTATTGAAGCTGTCAAGACACAGGACACACGTCTCTATATGGAGACAGGTAAGTAACAATGCAAGCAGGGTACTCTGTTTACCAGAAATGGTCTTGTTTATTCATTACTAAATGCTAATGAGGGCAATTGTACTAGGGTACAGACTGAAGTCATCTAGGTTCCAGCTACCTGAAACTCAGGTTCATCCAGCCTAAACTAACTGCAACTAAACAAAGATTTTGATAAATAATCTTGAAGAAAGACTAACACTTTAGGCATTTATTGTCTGTATAATTGATAATGTTGAAGGGATGTTATTTCCTGGACCTTTGTGGCTACATGAGAGGTAGGAATTCTTGGGGGTGATACCATGTGTTTGGCATAGACATAAGCACACTTTCAGGCATCACAGTACCCTTCTCCTCGGGTCTCTTCTTTCAAGGCAATTTTTGGTGTAGCACTTATTAAACTTTCTGAAAGATTCACTTGCATGATATTGGCAGCTTGGGTTAATGGGTGAAACTTATGATCTGGGGTCTAAATCCTAACAAAGCTGACTTACCCTTCCTCCCTAGGACTTAACATGGTCAGATCCTGAGGAAAGGCCACATACTTCTACTTAATCTCCAAGAATGAAATAGCTCACCTGGGGTTCTGACAGAAGTATTCCCCTACATATCTCTAACCCACTGGTGTGACAGTATTAGCAATTGCATATTAGAAGTTATTCATCAAAAAATACTATATCCATGTCTTATTTTAATGCTCACTTGTAAACAGACAGACACCTATCGGAAACTGGCCTCTACTGTCTTTTGTTAGGTTACAGAACTGAAGTTTGTTGCCTGAAACCAGCATTCAACAATATAGGTAAGCAGGTTTGTATTTGTAAACACTTGTAAGCAAAGAAAGTTGCAACATGGCTTCTGACAAAGCTTTATTAATTCAGGAGTAGAATTAACTGTCCCCATTGAAACCTGGTAACATTCATGAGAAACATGAAATAAAGAACTATATCCCCAAACAGGCACCATCACTCTGACTTTACAGAAGTATGAATGACATGAAGGAATACTGTAAAAATGTGCCACCAGTAAGCACTAATGCTTAAGGTCATTGTTGTGGGCACCATAAGTTTGCATGATGGATCCAGATAAGTGTGTATGGAAGACTTGTGGAAACAGATAATCCTTTGTTAAAAGTGTGAGAACTGCCAGACTTGAATGTCACAGTGCAATGCCAGATAAGATAAACATGAAAAAATACTGCTGCCCTTCCAAGCACTCTTGGAAAGTATTTATGCACACGAGTAGTTTCACTGAACATAACAGGCTTGTTATTCCTACACAGCAGATTGCTGGACTGGGAAGAACTTAATCACACTTTCCTGGACACTGCTTATAGATTAATAAAAGCATCTGGTTAGTACTTAAACTTAAAACAAGGCACAAACCCACTTTCTCCGTTTTCTCGACCATGAAGAGGCCTGAAAGGAGTGCAGCACTATCTGCTTGTATTATTCAGTTTCAGGAAGGAGAATCCACTGCAGGGGGTAGCTCTCCTTGAAGTAGTCCAGCTACTTATACTATGCAGTCACGTGGCATTCGCTCACTTCTCCTGGCAGCTCAGCCTCAGCTGTCATTTGCTTGTGTAGCATCAGTTTGGAGAACAAAGGTTCTCATGGAAGGAATGCTCCTGAAGGTAGTTATGAGAGGCTTGCTCCAGCTTGTTATCACAAGGCTCCTGTAGGTCACTCAGGAGAGACTTAACTTCCCACAGGCAGTAAGAACCCTCTGGATTCAGAACATACTCCCTAAAATCCAACCTACATGTTCCACTACCTGTTCTCAGGTGATGGTTATTGTACAGAACATGTTAAGAGGAATAATGCAATACGGTTTGTATTGGAATATACTGAATATTCAGTGCTATAAAGCTGCTCTCCCAGGGCATGGAAGGAATTATATCAAGATTCCTTCTACTATTAGTAGGTAATCTAGGGAGTAAGAAGCCCTCCTTTATTACATAGCACCAAACATTCTAGTGGAGATTATGTTCCATGCAGGGCTTTTAAACACTTGGTACCTCAGCATACAACAGAGCCTGGGACACTGCATTTTTCCTTAGAAGAAAAATAGTCCACAAAAAAGCTGTTCCCCAGACAGCCCCATATTCTTGGATGCTAGGGTCCTGTCTACTACATGTACACAACATCCCACTGTAAAATCTTGCTTTAATGAAACTGCTTAGTAAGGCCACATTCTTCTATGCAGTACATCTGTTACAGTCAACTTCCAAGTGTGAACAAAATGTCAGTAGCATTCTTGTGATTTCAGGTGGAAGGCAACAGAGAAGCTAAAGGCAATTGTAACAAGTCAAGTTTGACAAAAATAACCTCATCTGCACGTCACACACCCACTGCCGCAAAAATGTTGTCTATATCATCGTTCTCAGTCGCTTCTTTCATTAAATGCCAAGGATTTCTTCTCCCCTCTTTTGGTTTAGAGGTCCCCACCTTTTGTTTTTTGAAGGGCTTGGTAGCAGGAAGAAAGGATGCAGCATTAGTCTTGTGGCCTTCAAGGATGGCAGAAACGTTTTGCTGACCAAACTTTGGAGTCTTCTTTGACTTTCTGGACAGTTTCGTCTTGATTCTCCTCTGCCAACAGGACCCTAGTCTGTAATACTGCTTTGGCAAACGTGCATTTTGGGAGCCAGAGAGCAGGAATTTGCGGATAGATGCTTTGACGCAGCTCAGTTTTTTCTGCAAGCTTTAAAGAGAAGGGGGCAGGGGGAGAGAAAGGTAGAACACAGTTCAGTGACTGATAAAAGTAAAATGTTTCTACTTGGCTAATCTTCAACCCTGTCTGTTTTGGGAGATTCAGTACTCAGGTACTTCTCCATCCTTTGTGTGTGTTGCAAAATATGAGCTGAAGCTTCCACAAAAAGCAACTCATTCCTAGTAGGGACACAATGTTTACTCAAATCCACGACACACAACAGGCAGTTACTGCAAATCTGACTCTGGCCAAACTCTGAATCAAATTTAAGTCACAGCCCTTTCTGCCACTTACTGTCAGGCATGGCTCTGGTTCTGGCTTTATTCTTTTCTGAGGTATGCAGCACATGGAAGCTCAGCCCCCGCCCAGCCAGGCAGCAGCTCCAAGGCTGGAGCTTCTGTGCATTCTGGGCAGGAATGGAGCCAGAGCCATGCCTGACCATAAAAGGGAGGAGGAGGAGGCAGAACAGACAGTACAGGACACAAATTTAAGGTGACCCTCTGATAATTCGATTCTGCATGGAAAGTTACAGCAAGGTTGTCAACTTTCTATTGTGCGGGCCGGGAGCGACCCAAGCCCTTTTCCGTGCTGCACGCGAGCTGTGGCCAGCAGCCCGGGCACGCCGGGTTGGAGAGGGAAGGCCGTCGAGCTGGAATTAGGCACAAACGCGTAGTGGTAGTTTTAAAGATTGTTTACTTACACCAAGATGGCAGTGGTGTAGGCTGGAAAGCTTGCTTAAGTTGCGGTTACAGACAGGAAAGAAGAGAGGCGGACAAGAGTTCTAGACTCGTGAACTGTAGCCCAATCCGGCTGAAGGCTCTGAACACGCGAGCCTGTCGTCTCAACCGAAGAAAATACTCGTCCGAAAGAGCTCTGAATAAACTCACACGAAGTTTGCTAGGCTCCGTGGCTCCTTCTGCTCACTCATTCACACGAAGTTTGCTAGGCTTCGTGGGTCCAGTTCTTTTGCGCGCGGGAAGGGATACGTCTGGAATGCGCTCGGCGACGGGGAGAGGCTAGAGGTTGATCAGACCTCTGTTGCCTGCTTTAAATGCACTGGGTCCGTAAGGATCCGCAGCGCTTAGAGATCTTCACACAGCGTGAAGTCTCCTCCTCCCTTGTTCGTGGAGTCCTCCAACTTGGGCGGAAACCACTCAAGCCTCTTATACAGCTAGCAAGCCGCCACGTGTGAATAATTTAGAACTGGCCAATAATGGGACTCAAATTAGCATACAAATGGCGGGAACTCTTTGCAACGAGCATTTCTGTGCTGCAACAAAAAAATGCACCCTGCAAAGAAAGCTTCAAATTGGCGGGAAATTCTCCCTTGCACCGGGGTTCTCTTTTGCAGCAGAGAACTCCACCGTGCAAGGAAGCTACAATTTAGCGGGAACAATTTAGCAGTGCCGAAGCACACAAAAACAAAAATCACACCCTTTGGGTTGTGACATCTATATATAGAATTGAATTACTGGGGAGGGGATCATCTTAAATTTGTAGTAGTCTCTTTACATTTCTGTATCTGTAAATATTCCACCGATTTGTCTTCACAGAGACTTACACAGGTTTAACTAAAACAGTACCATATTGCAATGGAAACATTTCAGTTTAAGAGTAGCTTGTTTCAACTGAACTCAAACCATGTTTACCTTCAGTTACTTAGGAACAAAAAAACCCCAAAACACACACTTTTGTGGCTGTGCCAGAAGGGTACAAGAAGGACATTTACTCATGTAGTTATCAGAATTTGATTTCAATCTTTAAAGTTATACCAATGCACTCTTCCCACACAGCCAAGGCCTAAAGAATAACTTACTGTGAAGTACTGTCCCTAGAAACCTTATATCCATGTTCAAGGAAACATACCTGCATCCCTGGGCCTCCACATGCTGTAGCCGGTTGCTTTTCAATAGTTTGTTTTTTAGAAAGCAGGTTTCTGCCCTGAGCTTCTTGCTTCTGAACCAAAGAATGGCTGTTCTGAGTGCTTCTGTGAGTTCCCTGAAAGAGTGGGCTTCCCGAAGGGTCAGCACCAGAGATCTGGCACGCTGAGACCTTGTTGCACAAGAGGAAAGTGGTGCTGGCCTCACTTTGGCTTCAGGAACTGTTAGCATGAAACTTCTATCCTGAAAGAAATAAAGGGGAAGAAGTCAGTCCCTAAAAAACATCAAAATGTTGAGCTTCCCACAGGAGGGAAGCAGAGATGCTTTGTGTTAGAGAAAACC